AAAACTTTCATGGGGTATACTCACCAGCAGCTTGTGCAATACACTATTTGATATGGTAACGTGAGGTGCATATGCACCACATGATTTTCAACTAGTGTCAAGGTATTTTTAGTCAGACATGGTTCAAAGGTCAGTAAAACAAAAAAATTAATAAATATAAATAGATGTATACTGTTAAGAGATTTATGCTATTTAGAATAAACATTTGTGGTTTCCAGTTACAATTCACAGTCATTCTAGAACAAAAAAGGGTAATTTAAATTCATTTCTTAATTTTTCTGAGGGTTACGAGGCCAGTCAAATCAACCTATGCCAATTTCGAGTTATCGTTGATAAAATAACACACTAAATACAAAGTTTTATTCAAAAAACATTTGATGATTATTTAGAAGGATACAGAGATAACACAAATAAACTTGACAATTATCAGATAAAGAAAAGTATTTGTAACCTTAAAATCAAAATTACTTTGTACATTGGATAGTCAACTTTCTAAAAGAAAAAAAATTCACCAGCATATCTTTAATTAAAAAAATCTTAATATTTAATTTAAAAACTTGATATTTTGTGTATGAAGGCCTTGTAATGTTTACAAATAATCTGCAAAATGTTGTGAAGATACATGTACTCTCATGGATACTTTGGAGGTTACGAGCTGGGTGGATTAGATCCAGCCCGTATTCGTAGGGTTAACAAACTGTATCAGTCTCAATCTTTATGCTTACTTTGTATGCATGCTATGAAGTAAAGTTGCTACAACACAGAATTCAGTATTCAAAGAAAGCATTACTACAACACAGAATTCAGTATTCAAAGAAAGCATTACTACAACACAGAATTCAGTATTTAAAGAAAGCATTACTACAACACAGAATTCAGTATTTAAAGAGAGCATTACTTCAACACTGAATTCAGTATTTAGAGAGAGCATTATTACAACACAGAATTCAGTACTTAAAGAGAGCATTACTACAACACAGAATTCAGTACTTAAAGAGAACATTACTACAACACAGAATTCAGTATTTAAAGAGAGCATTACTACAACACAGAATTCAGTATTTAAAGAGAGCATTTTTATTTTTACTAGATTAAAGGATAAAGTTTTTCCCAGAAACAATAAAATAATAGTTTTTCAAAAAACTTGTTAAGAAAAAAGGAACTATATAATACTTCTTACATGCTGGTAAATATTTTAATACTTGATTACTTGTGACTCTTCAAGACACCAGACATACATTCTTAACCAAATCAGTGAGTCTGATGTCTAGATTCCTGGATTAAAAGTACATTCTCTAAGGAATTCAGAACCTGTTTCTATTTTGCAATCAGAAAAGTGATCCTATTTTACAGCAAGCTACGTGATACTAAACTGCTAATTGTAACAGTGTAAGAAAGTGTTCACCACTAAGAAACTGGTATAATAACAATGTGTTGAACCACATCACATATCCGAGTGTTATGGTTTACCATACTCGTAACCCAATGGAACTACCTATGTTATGCAATACAAAATTAACTATCTGAATGGAAGTGGTATTTTGCACCAGCCCAGTTTCTATGAAGCTATACAGAGCAAAGTTCACTATAATTCAGTGTTTAATAAGTGTATTTTCACGAAATTTGTTAGGCTTTTAGTAAACATTACAAATATACTGAACACAAATAATCAAAATGTTTAATGAAGTGGTTTTACTAAAATTTGTTGATAAATTTACTGAGCCAGTTCTTCATTTTACAGTTTTTGTATTTCATTTGTGTAACCTCTATAACCTCCTCAATGAATATCAAGTCTTATTTCAGTAAAACTTGTTTTATATGTTAATTTTTCTACACTAGCACTAACTATTGTTAAATCAATAACATAAAATGAAAAGTTGCATAAACAAAATAAAGCTAAATAATCCTTTTTTTTCTTTCAAGAATAACTGCATATTTTAACAGAAAATTACACAATTTATTCTTATAGCCAAAGCCAATACTGATTTTTCAAATCTGGGTTCATTTAATTTCACTGCTTTGTAGCGATACTTAGACCCTCTCAAAGCATGCCAAAAGCTGTTAATTGTAGCCAGATAGCTTTGTGTAAATTTGACTGTTACAAACATAACACAAATGAATTACAAACATGCCTCATCTACATAGCATGCTATGATACTGACTATTGAGAGAAATTATTTAATTTTAAGTTTTCTTATTTAGTCTAATAACTTTCAATTTTTTAGTTTTAGTTACTTTTATAACAATAAATCAAAACTGTACCTAATAAATAAGAATTCTAATAATTAAGAAATCTAGAATCCTGCTTTCTGCTGTTCACAGTTGAAATTTATTTTAACCTCACTAATTCAAATATGTGGGAGGTTTTTTTAACATTATGACCTGTCAATGTCTATAGCTTGAAGTTTCTAATTGGTTGGTCTCCCTGACATATCAGTATGCAGATATCTCAAGTTAACATAAGTGTGGGTAAATGAGAGTATTAAGACTAGTGGGGAGTAAAGATTTGCACTGATAGAGGGCAGTATAAATCGAGAAAGCTTTTTGTGAGCGGGAGTAAGATATTGTATTGAAATAAGAGAATCAGAGATGTATCACATGATACACAAAAGTCACGATTAATAAGTTATTTAAATATTTGCTTTCAAAATTAAAAAATTATATAACAAATAACATTGAACTACAAGCTACATTTTCATGCCAAGTTTAATGACAAACTGAAAAAAAGTTATTTAAATTAAGTTAATTAAATTATGAATATAACAATAAAAAGATCATGACATGCTTACTTTGACCACCCACCACACACAAAGGGTTAAGTTACAAGTAAATATATAATTATTAGCCAGTCCTCAGATGTGTACATATAGGTTGACTATTCAGTGTCAACATTAAATTGTGTAAACATAGTACTTTGTTTGAGATGTGTTCCAAAACAGTGAAATATTAAAAATATAGGGTCAGTTAAAATGATAACACTGCATCATATAACCTCTTATCTACATTATATAAGCTAATCACATACTCTCAAACATTACATATTCCTGAATGATGTAATTCACATTATTTGTATTGAGACTACAAACTTTTTATCACACCATGTAGTCCGTGTAAAAGAAAATTGCTGCTGAAAGTTGCTTCTTACTTCAAATATAAAGATTTAGGTTGAGAAAAAAATTTGGAACAGTTGGTAGGACAAGTCAAGTAACATACATGTAAAATATTTTGTGTAAATGCCCAGGTATCATGGGAAGTGCATTCTACAGTTTACTGGAAATGGCACTAGTATAGAGGATGTTGCACATGGTTATGACAAAATTAAAATGCCAAATAAAACACAGGATGAAATTACAACTGTTATCGTACATAATTAGCTTCACAGACTGTTCTAATTATTTATAATGACTTTAAAACCACCATGTACTTTATATTACACAATTTGATCTACAGAATGTTCCAAATATCCATACTGACTTTACACCAACCATGTACTTTATCTTAAAAGACTTATCATAAACAGTGTTCAAAATACTCATACTGACTTTACAACCACCATGTACTTTTTACTACATAATTCACTCTACAGACTGTTCCAAATATTCGTACTGACTTTATAACCACCATGTACTTTATACTACTGTTACGTATCTGGTCGTTTGTTAATTTCCGGCATAAATTATTTACGAGGAACTTCAGTGATACAAGTCCTTTCTTAATTAAAACTAGTTTATTCTTTCTCGATACAACTTTGTAATACACAGAATTTCTACAGTCACTTTAAACTTAACAACCTTTATAACACATGCTATAACTCGCAGTGATTCACACACTTTACTTACGGTGCCTACTGTTCGTTTGACTCAATTATCTATCCCTTTGATTTATCTGCATATCTATTCAATCAATGCAATTGTGCTGGTTTTTCTCACCAAGCTTATATACTAAAAAAGAGGGCACCTTGAACAAACTAGAGTTGCCAGGAAAATTCATGATCCTTCCAGAAACTCCAGTGCGCATGCTCCCAGCATCGCGTGACTTCCGCTGTCATAACACTACATAATTTGGTCTACAGCCTGTTCCAAATACTCGTACTGACTTTATAACCACCATGTACTTTATATTACATAATTTTCTCTACAGACTGTTCCAAATATCCATACTGACTTTATAACCATCATGTAAAATGAGGTAAATGAAATATTTACATATCAGTATTTTGTGGTAACTAAAATTGAAGCAAGTTACAAATGGTGCAAGATATTTAAACCAAAATATTTTGTATATTACTACAAATAACATTTAAATGTTAAATAAATATATACCTAGAAGTTCAATATATCTTATGAATATCACAAATAACAGTTAGTTACACATTAAGCATATGTTAAAATACAAAGTACAAATGATAATTATCTGAAAACTACACAGTTAAATTTTTTTTTTGGAAGTAGTTGAAACTATCATGAAAATGTCAACCATTTTATTATTACTGTTATACATTGAAACAAGAGATATCTGTTAATTCTATCACAAGAATATGTCATTTATAACTAACTTTATCACAGTTTCTTTCTTTATTAACTTGGCTGACCATTTCTGAGTGAATAATATTTTACTCTTAGTAAATGTATACACAATATTTTAAGTTTTCTAAGGTGAATGTATCACTATAACCTGTATTGAGAAAGTAGACTTTCACTCCAGTGTTTTGAATGGTCACGAGTTCACAACAACATTTTAATGTGAGTAAACCACAAAAAGCTTCAAAGCATCAGAAAAGTAGGCTTAACACACACATTAATGGCTCTTAGACATAACAATCTTTACTTGGTACAAATAGCAATATCAACATTATAGATTTTCTAACTCTACATAATACTGAATTATTGCATACCTAACTGTAATATACATTGCTAAAGTTTATTATCTGTTAAAACATTTCATCAATGGATCCTATAATTCTGTATGTAGTTATAAAAATATAATTAAGTGAATCGTACTTTTCACTGATGTAAAATCTCACAGTCGGAGTGAACAAGGTGATGGAGGCAATCACAACTGTTAGAAGAAGCTGCATACTTAAAATTCCATACACTTTCCTTAAAAACCCTAAGAGAAAGAAACATGATATAAAAAATACATGTTAAATCATAAACAAGTTTTAAACTGAAAAGTATCAAGTGAAAGTTAACATTTTCCTTACCCCAAAATCTGTATCACAAATAGATACTTACCTCTTTGCACCACTAAGAGCTATTATCTTACATGCAACTGCCATGAAAATTCCTACACATACCAGAAACCTTGAACAAACTCTCACCTCCAGACATGTCTTCATGTATTGAGTCAACCTATGACAATCATCATAATGCTGTAGCCCTCTACCAACAGGTGGATAATATGACCTCCATACACAGTAAACCTAGTGTGCACTAGCACATGATCATAGGCTCATTCTTGATGAGGCGAAGAAAATACACAGGAAGTATGGAAGAGGTGATGCAGAGAGGTAAGTATTTATCTGAAATAAATTTTCAGGTAAGGAAAATGTCAACTTCAGAAATGCCAATTACCTCTCTGCACCACTAAGAGCTAGAACCCCACAATGAAAATGTTGAAAAGGCTATTGTGAATAAATTACAACAGTTCCTTTCTAAAATAATAACAGAAAAGCCCATAGGGAGTGACATCTGTGAGACCAGGGGTCACATATTGTAGCAGTATCCGGTAAGAGTCTGCATCCTTCTCAAGCAGAGAACACTCTACTCAATTTGTTGTTATTTATTTATTCATTCCTATATAACATTTACACTAAACAGAGTTACAGTGAAGGATATTGGGTAAATTCAGTGACGATGGAGATGTGTCACAAAGGTGCATGGAACATGTAGTGTGGTTGAGCCCAACCAGTCTCTAACCTGGGGAGCAGTACACTTTACAGAGGAAACATCCCCAGTGGCTTGGGAAGTTAGTAGAAGGAATACATGTTGTGTAGAATATAAGGGCATGTACTTGGACCACTATCATCAGGCACAATAATCGGGAATTTAGTCCCCACTGAGAAACAGTGCAATGGGTTACTATGACTAAAGACAGCAAGCATGAGCCAAGTGTAGGGGCAGGACTACGACTGATGCTGTCTGCTTTGGTTTTGTTTTATTATTGTTGTAAAAGGTGCAGAAACAGGTATGTCAGTTATAATGATATACTACCAAAGCATTATTACAGAAAACTCAATCTAAATCATCTCAATGGTGTGCATTAAGCAGGGGCAGATGGGTTTAATGCTTTTTGTTCTCCCGTGTTTGACATGGATTTCAGGTCAGTATTCTCTGTAAGGCAATCCAGTCACAAGGCAGGTTTTAACGGCACCAAGCATAAGAAACTTATTGTGTAGTTCCTCAAGTAACATTTGATCTGGTGAATCTTATCTTCCCCTATTCATTTTTTTTGTTGTTGAAAAACTTGAAATGTGCTGGAATGTGTACAAAAATCATGGTATACACATGGAGGTGGCATGAAATGTAACAAAAGTGGAAGGAGGCAAGTCCAGAGAAAAGGCAGTCTGCCATAGTAAGAATAAGCAATGGTGGTTTCGACAAAAAGGAGCAGTCTGAACAAAACAGCAACAGACAGCCTGTACATGAAACAAAAAAGGTATAGGAACCAGAACAATCATACAATGTTGAAATAGAAGGGAGATAGATGGGATAAAACATTCAATCACCAAGTTTCTGGAAGAAAGGAGTGAATGAGAAAGAACATCAGTTGGTCCCCATGACAGAGAGTAAGTAACATGTGTAAGGCATAAATGACAATAACCACAAGAAAGGAGAAGTAGAAAATATGTCTTGAGAAACAAATGATATAAGTAACAGGACGGCAACAACTCAAGAGAAGCATGTAAGAGCCCAAAGAATCACATAAAGGTCCCAGTAAGAGAGATGAATTGGATGAAGGGGGCAAAAGAAAATGATTATTACCTGAAGAGTTGAAAGATTATGAACAACACTCCACAGTAACCTACATTGGCCAAAACATACAGGCTTTAAATAAAAATCCAGGTAAAGAAGGAAGTAGGATGAGGAATATTAGTGCAACCCTGCTGTAAAAAGTGGCAGAGAGATTAGTGATGTGCACTGATAGATGGTAAGAGTAGAAGGTTGATAAGACTGAGAAACATGCTAGTCCATGGGAAAATCACATACATCACACAAGAGATTGGACAAATCCCACACATAAAGACAAAGGAGCAACATCTCACTGGTAAAAATTGGAGTCACAAGAGCATTGATTTGAGGGGTTGTGAAATGGGACCAAATCTAATGGATATAAGGGCCACTCTATGAGATGGATTCCATCAAAGCAAGAGAAGTAATCCAATCCTAGGCACATGAAATGTCTTGAGGTGTATATGATAATTGCAGACCCGAAAGAGAAAGAATCATAAGTCCTGAGAGCAGGTGCCTCCCTGGCAGTTGATTGAAGTAACAATCATAGAGTTCTCTAATTGATCATCAAAAGATGACTGGAAAAAGAAGGTAAGCCTGTTAATCCTCCAACATCTGCAGAAAATTTATATGAAGAGAATCCTCCTCTGGAACCAAGATCTCAGAAAGTAAGGCTGGGGGGGGGGGGGGAGGTGGTATCCCCCAGATAGGGTTGGAACAATCAAGCAATCATGACAGAGAGATATACAGAGGAAAGTATAGGCATTTCCCAGAGACCCAGATCCAATTGAAGGAAGTGCTTTGGTTATCAAGATCTTTATAACAAAAACATGCAAGAGAGGGAGTTGAGAAAAAACCCTAAGTGGCCAAGAAACTAAGTGGGAGTCAAAAATAACTTAGAATGATAGACCAGTCATCACAGCTGAGGGGCCTTCAGTAGAAGGTTGGAAGTAGTAATTACCATGACAGGGCCAGGAGAAGCCAAACAACCACATAATAATGAAAATAAAGGCCAGAAGATGCATTCACGGAACAAAGGGAATGCAGGTTATGGCTGAAAACATACAGAATTGTAGTACAGGAAAGTGCACAGAACTGAAAGACAACAAGTGAAGACACACCAAGAAATGACAGAACACAGTACAAATGGGAATGTGAAGGAAGACATTTGAAGTGTCTAACTAGGTCAAAAACTGCCCAGGAGAGAGGGCCCAATGAAGGCTGAGAAAGTCATTTAACCAGAATCGAGAAACAATAAGAAAGTAATTCAGAAATGACAAATGAATGACAGGGCACCAAATCTTAAAGTTAATGGGAAGACAGAAATAAAAGACCAGAGTGGGGTAGAAGACAAGTTTTATAGCTCTCATGAGGATCAGTAGGAAGAGAAATGGAAAGAGAATAATGAGAAAAAAGAGTACACAACAGAAGAGAAAAACAATAGGTAAAAAAAATTCAGAACCCCAGGGTCACTGGAAAAGGAAAACAAAGAATGGGAGAGGTGGACACCAATAAGACCAGAGCCCAACAATAGGTCCAAAGAAGACTCAACACCAAAAGCTGTAATGACTAGCTACACAAAAGAGGGAACAATGAACAGAAGCAAGAGAACAAGGAACAAAAGACGAGTAGCCTAATGTGACTCCCAAGGATGGGTGGCAAACAGAGATACCAGTGGACCAGTGAGTCAGAAATCAAGGAAACAAAAGAAGATTGCAGATGTGCAAGCTAACCTCAAAATATTTCAAGGAGTCTGGAACACCCCCAAAACCGGAATGTAAACAAATGAGTGAGACAAAGGTCCTGAATATATGAGGATGGGATGAGAATACCTCACTGAGGTGATCCCTGAAACAAAGAAATCAGGTCAAAATAGCGATAGGATAGAAATAAATGGAAACCAAATGACAAACAATGAAAAAGAGGTGTATATACAAAAACTACTTGGGTTATAATAAAGAGCTTAAATGAGGAGATGAAGGGCAGAGATAGAATAAAGGAGAAGGGTAAAGAAAAAAGAAATGAATAGATAACTGGAATAATGGCTGGAGACGGCTTAAATGGGTAATGAAGAAAAACTTTAGTATAAGTTTAACATGACAGCAAATGTACAACGTTTCGACAAGGTTTTGCCATCATCATTATTTTGTCATAACTGATAGTGGGATGTTTATCTTAAAAATATAGGAATAAAACAACCCACTTTAACACTATGCCAGTATGGTTTCAACGATAAAAAGAAAGGAGTCACTTTGGAATGTACCCGATTTGGGGTAATGCTAAAAAACATTTGAGCTAACCTTTATATATGCAGGTACATATTTTGAAATGTAAAAGGTTACTTGTATGTTGGGGACACAATAACCCGGTTTGTCAATAGTATCAAATTTATCATTAATTATAATGAAATGTGAGAATGTTTGTAAACTAAGAGATGAAAAATTACAAACTTAAATAAATGCTAATCTCAACTAGAGAATGGAGTTCATTTAGCACAAAGGGGCAATCTTGAATATAAATTTTTTTTAAATAATAGAAAATAAAAAACAAATAGGTGATATCTATGAATTTAGCTTGTTGGGTATATTCAGTATATCTTTATATCTTATCGGAACTGCATAAGCTCCATGAAATATAACTTTTCTTACTGTCAAAAGGGGACATGTTAGTTCAAACAAGTCAGGTCCTGTTAGGTATATTAATTTTTAAGTTGTTAACATACAAAAGGAGAAAAATAATTAATTTCTGTATGGAAATTAATTAACAATTCCCTATTCCACATGACCATTCCCTTAGAGTTTGTATACAGTGTTCAAAGTAGAAGTTAATGCATTATTCAAGTAACTTGTCATTCTACAAATATTACTTTGGTAAATAACAAGGCATTATAATATGTTAATTTTCAATGGGAATGACAAAATTATAATTACTTTCTACACAAAAGTTTGGCTGGTAACATTATCTCTGTTGTACAGCTACATTAGTGCTCTTTTGTTATTTAAACAAAAAATTAATTTTAGTTTCTAAATTCTAAGCAAATAACATATATATAACATCTGTCAAATATGTCAGTAACTGCAATGACCAATTTCAAAATGAAGTTCACAACATGGTTTTCATAGAAGCTTTATCAGCACTAAGTCTTGGTTTCATATTAATCTGGCTAATTATGCACATGTACACTGTACAGTCAGATAGACATACATTTAATAAATTAATTTTCAGACATATAGTTAAAAGAATGTTAGGTATAGTCATAAAAATTATTTTACAGGACAAGACAAGAGAAAGAAATTTAAATGGTAATATAACATGCTACCCTTTTATTAACTAATATGTAAGGATACTACTTTTTTCCTAAAAAAATGAGTGATCAGTTAATTTTTTTCCAGTAATGTGCCCAATGTTGACTGCATTTATCTATAATATATCTCATATTCAAAATGTATTTCAATTTAATTTCAACTCAAAGTAAAAACTGGTATTAAAGGTTGTATAAACTAAATAAAACTCATGAACAAAAACGTAGCTAAACCAATCTACTTATCTACAGTTTTAGTACTTACCCATACGGATGTAGATGTGGGCCTGAGCCACATTAGACCCATACATGAAGTCATCCACAATAGATGAAGTTCCTTTTCCAGAAGATACCATTTCCCCCATGTTTATAGGTATTTTTATATCAGTCATTTTGTCTATTTATGGGAAATAAAGATTCAAATATAACAATATTACTAAATGCTGTTTAGAAATATATGCATTATACAATGTATTCCATTGTTGGACAACTTCATAAAATTATTTATGTAATGGTATAAGCAACAACTTGGTAGTAACATTTGTAATTGTAGTCGTTATATTTTCCTTGAGTCAATATCTGTTTAATAACTCAAATAAATTTTAAAATTTTACCAACATCCTTTTGACAAGCCACACACAGAGCTACACAGGTGAAAATTGGGCCACTAATCTAGACTAAAGCCCCTTTCCTGTTTACAGACAATTTAGTGTCAAATTAAAAGTAAACAAAACAAAATGTTAAAATTTGAATTACTACACACTTTCAAAATTATATCTATGGTTAAAACCAATAACGTTCAGGCCAAACAATAACATAAACTAAAGTTAAATGTAAACGTGAATGAATGGCTGAATGGCGTAAAACTAAAATATATGTGTTCAGCTTATTTTAAATTCATAACTTTTCTTGCCCAATGTACATTTACTAAGCCTTGTAAATCTTTTCTGTAACTGAATCTCTCAAATATTGAAATGCATAACAGATATAAATTAAATAAATAATATTTTTACACTAGCAGAGGAAATTAGTACAACCAACTTAACCAAATACAAATCGAAAACTGAAAACGTCATTTGAAGTCACAGAGACATCTAGTGACATATATAAATTACTTATTTTGAAATATAAATAACATTATTGAAAATGTATAACAACATCTTTGGAGTTAATGAGATATGAGCTTATAAAGAATGGTTTAGACCAATTTTTAGAACATTACACATTGTTATCTTTAACACAAAAAACACTCTAGAGCATTTACTGCATATAACTTGTCGGTTGATGGATAAGAGTCGAAAGATCGCAGAAATAAACTAATTTAACATAAAACCTCAAATTTTATTTTACTATTACCTCTGTTTAAAAAATATTCCCACTACTGAAACTGTAATATTCTAATGAAAAAAATGTCTTTTTTAAAAGTTGAAACTACTTGATCCTACCGAAAAATATTAATAAATGCTAGATACGATTTAATATCCCTTAGAGTTTGTTTGTTTGAAGTTAAGCACAAAATTATACAATGGGCTATTTGTGCTGTGCCCACCACGGGTACTTTTTTGGCGTTATAAATGCGCAAACTTACCGCTGTGTCATTGGCGAGCTTCAGCGAAGATAAAACGACTATTTGCTACTAACTTTCTAAATCCTTCAATAGTAAACAGGTGCCAGAAAAATGGAAGCTGCCTAATGTTACTTCTGTTACGACAGTGGAGTCACGTGACGCTGCTGGCGCATTGGCGCTGCTAAGTGAGCGTGATAAGTTTCTCGAATGATCGGGGAAGTCCACGTGTGTTCGTTAGTATGTAAGCCTGGCAGGGAAACCAGCATAGATGAATGAAGAGAGAGCAGTAGTTACTTTGAGTTCCGTGTAATTTATGATTCTGTTAGTTTCGAGCTAGTGAGCCGTAAAGTGTGTGTTTTGCACTCGTTGAGAGCGAATTTTTGTAGTTTATGAATTGCTGTGATTTATAGCATGTATTATAAAAGTTGTTAAGTTTAATGTGACGAGAAACGTACATAATTTCTACTGGAAACAAACAAACAAGCAGATACGTAACACTTCTCTTTGCAAGTGAGGTAATAAAAATTGTC